CGGGAAGATCCCACATGCCATGGAGCAACTAAACCCGTGCGCCACAACTACTGAGCTTGCACTCTAGAGCCCACGAGCCACAACTACTGAGCCCGTGTGCCACAGCTGCTGAAGCCTGCGCGCCTGGAGCCCGTGCTCCGCAACAAGAGAAGCCACCGCAATGAGAAGTCCGTGCACCGCCACGAGGAGTAGCCCCCCAACTCGCTGCAACTAGAGAAAGCCCGCGCGCAAGCAACAAAGACCCGACGCAGCCAAAAATAAATAAATAAACAAATCTAAAAAAAAATTTAACCATTTTAAAGTGAACAATTCAGTGGCACTTAGCACATTCACAATGTCATGCAACCATCACCTCTATCTAGTTCCAAAACATTTTCATCACCCCAGAACACCCCCTACCCATTAAGCAGTGTCTCCCCAAACCCCCCTTACCCCAGACACTGGCAACCACTAACTGCTTTCTGTTCCTATGGATTTCCCCTGTTCCGGACATTTCACATAAATGTGACGTTTTGTTCCTGGCTTCCTTCACTGAGCATTATGTTTTCAGGGTCCAACCATGTGCTAGTATGTATCAATACTTCATTACTTTTTAGGACCAAAAACGATTCCATTGTATGGGCATATATCACATTTTGTTTATCCATTCATCTGTGGATGAACATTTGGGCTGTTTCCACCTTTTGGCAACCGTGAGTAATGCTATGAACACGTGTGTACAAGTACTTGCTTGAGAACTTATTTTCAATTCTTTTGGGTTAGGAAGAATTTTTTGAATTGAAGTGTAGTTGACTTACAATATTATATTAGTTTCAGGTGTACAACTCAGTGATTCAACGTTTTACAGATTATACTCCATTTAAAGTTATTACAAAACAATGGTTATATTTCCCTGTGCTATACAATATATCCTGTTGTTTCTCTATTTTATACATAGTATCTCTTCTAGAAATAATTTTTAAGGCTGTTTATGCTATCAAAAACAAGACTGCACATTATAAGTACAGAACGCTTTCTCCTAGGAGAAAAAAAGACTAGAAGAAACCATATCACAATGTTAACAATGGGTGACAATTATTGATGGTTTTATTTTCTAAAATCCTTTTGAATCAGCAAATGCTCCTTTTGTAATCAGAAAACAATTGTTGCCTAAAAATAGCCAACCTCAGATAGTGCAGAGCAGGGCTATTATAATGTGGTCTGTGGACAATGGGTGTCCCACACTGCTTGCTACTGGTCCATGATGAACTAAGTAAAAAGGTGGAGGTAAACATTTGGAATACATGCAGTTTGGTAGAATGGCTGTGTCTATTGAACTTAACAAGAAATTAGGGCTTTCAAAAAAAACTTGTGCATGAATGTTCACGACAGCACTTTTCACAATCGCCAAAAGGTGGAAACAGCCCAAATGTCCATCAACGGATGAATGGATAAACAAAACGTGGTCCATCCATACAATGGAAAATTATTCATCCATAAAAAGGAATGAAGCACTGACTTGCTACAACATGGTTAGACCTTGGAAACATTGTGCTAGGGAAAGCCACCAGACACAAGACACAAAAGACCACATCTTGTAGGATTCCATTTATACGAAACATCCAGAATAGGAAAATCGATAGAGACAGAAAGCAGTCAGTGGTTGCCAGGGGGCTGCTTAATGGGTAGGGGCTTTCCTTCTGGGGTGATGAAAATGTGTTGGAACCAGGTAGAGGAGATGGTTGTACAACATCGTTAAGGTACTAAATGCTGCGGAATTGTACACTTTACAATGGTTAAAGTGGTACATTTTATGTTACGTGTATTTTATCACAGTAAAACAAAATTGGGGCCTGTATTTTGCGTGCCTCTGTTTTCTTCCTTAGGTCTTTCTGATGGAGAGGAAAAAGCACAATCTCAGCCTTGAAAGGCAGGAGGGGACCTCAGAGAGGCTCTCAGTCGCAGGGGCTGTCAATCACGAGGCCCCACCCACCTCGCTGGTGATTGGTGCTCCTTGGGGGAGGCGTGGTTTGGGGGAATGAGAGTTTGGAACTGTATATGTACAGGGTTATACATACACCTCCTTTTACACATACATATACCCAAGCCGGGTTATACATATACCTCCTTTAGTTTCTTGCACAATTATGTTTTTACTGAGTCTTGTTAATCAAATTTAATAGCTACTGGTAGAGGAAACAGTTCTTCAAACCTCCCTCTACCCGTGCTCACCCAGCTGTCCGCAGGTGCCCAGCCTGAGAGAGGCCAGGCCTTGGTGGAGGATAAAAGTGACCTACTCATTGGAAGAGGGCAGTCCCCACTGCAAGTTACAGGTCGACGCTGTTAGAATGAATATAGATCAAAAGAGAAACAATTTCATTCTCCGTAGTGCAAAAAAGGAAAAGAGAGTTTACCTTCCTCCCTTTTCTTAGAGCATTTATTTTTAGGAGACCTCATCAAATATCCTTTCTCTACCCCTTTGGGAATGTGTGTAAATATTTTATCTATCTATCTATCTATCTATCTATCTATCATCTATCTATCTATCTATCGCTGCGCGGCTTGTGGGATCTTAGTTCGCATACCAGGGACTGAACCCCGGCCCTCCGCGTGGAGTCCTAACCACTGGACTGCCAGGGAATTCCCCATATGTAAATATTTTTTAAAGCTAAAAGAGTCTCTTGCCAGTTTTACAACCTAGGAACATTCTTCTCAAAGACCTGGGAGCTCTCCCTTGGAAATATAATTATCGAGTAAGATACCCCATGGGAGGGCAGGACCCTAACTTCTGCAGGCACCTGGCTCCAAGTTACAGAACCACCTCTTGCCTTAAGGATATGGGAATTTCTCATCTTCCTCTGGATAAAGGCAATTTGCAAACACAGATGGCCACCCTTATGGAATTAGGATGGACTAGGGCAGTAAATAGTGCCCTCAGGTCCTCTTGCTTGAACACAGGTATGCTGATTTTGAGAACAGGTATGCCCTAGGGACATAAGCCTGGCTGTATAAAAGGGTGAGGTTTCTTTCTGGTTTTGCAATCTCCTTACTCAATTAAAAATCATGTTTTCTTTCTCTTCTACCTTCGTGGAGAGGTTTTCTGGGTTGGCGGGGCATTCCACTGTTCAATTTTTCCGCTTTACATTCCTTCGCCATCTCCTGGGAGTTTGACTCCAAGGAGGCAATCTGCAAGTCCAGAGGTCTGGGGAACTCCACCAAGAGAGGCAGCTGGCGGGCATCCACCAACGCCACCTGCCTGTCATCACCCCTTGTCAGCCTGCTCCCCTTTTACCTGGAAGCTCAGCTCTGGGAAGTGGTGGCTGTCCTTAGCCACGTGCACTTGGGTGAGTTGTTTAACCTCATCATGCAGGACTAGGATGGGGTGAGTGAGACACTTACCTCAGGCACAGCATGGGGCGGGGCACCAAAGACTCGGTAATGAGGATCGCTATGGGCTGAAGGCTTGTGCCTCCCAAAAATTCATACCCTAATGTAATGGTGACTTTGGGAGGTAATTAGGTTTGGTTGAGGTCATGAGGATGGAGCCCTTGTGATGAGATTAGTGGCCTTATAAGAAGAGGAAGAGCAAGCGTTTCTTTCTCTCTCTTTCTGCCATGTGAGGATGCAGGGTAAAGGGGTCTCTCTGCAAGCCAGGAAGAGTACCCTCACCAAGGAACCAAATCACTTGGCACCTTTTTTTTTTTTTTTTTTTTTGTTGGCACGTTGATCTTGGACTTCTCAGCCTCCAGAACTGGGAGAAAGAGATTCCTATTGTTTAAACCACCCAGTCTATGGCATTTTGTTATGGCAGCCTGAGCTGACCAATACAAAGATAATATTTAAGTGCAATATTTTTAAAACTCAAAATGAATGCCAAAAAGTCCATGATGAAAGAAATATCAACATTTCCAATAGAGACAGCCTCCAACCCTGTGCATGCGTGGCTCCGCCCACTCGCCTGGCCCTAATGCCTCCCTGTTGTCCCACTCATCTTCTTCACCAATGAAATGGGGCAGATGCACCTGCGGCACCTCTGGGCCAGCTGGAGCATCGAAAATAGGAAGGGAGGTAGGATGTGAATGTAAAGCTGTCCATAGGGCTTCTCAGGAGGGATTGCTAAAGACAGTCTCTGAGGGCAACAGCCTCAGAGTCTCTTCTTGCCCTTGCTTCTTATGAGAGACTCCCTTTCTCTACAGGGTCAGCTCTTTTCTCCCTCAAGACAGTTACAATAGACAAACAGGTTTTCTACCAGCTCATGTAGGTTTCTCTGCACACTCAAATATATACTGAGTATATAGAGACATATTTGGTGCAGAGCTAGGCACAGTAGGGGACTCTGAAGAACCCAGGACACAGCTCCACCCTCTATCAGGACAGGGAGGGCACTGAAATGTGCTGGAATAAACCCCCACTAGCCTGTCGCTCCAGCTGGGTTATCTCAGTGTAGAGAACCACCAACCCTGGAATCTCCAGTCAGCTTTGCTGAAGCAAAGCTCATTTGCCAACATCCAGTTTTCCGACTTGGAAGAGAAGATGGCCGCTCCCTCACCCGTACCCCCCATGGAGCCCGCCTGCCCAACCCAGTTCAAAAGGTGGCAGCACAACACTCTAGAGACCCAGGGCTGGGATGGGAATTAACCGTGAGACTCCACTAGCTTACAGATTCCCAAGCCCTGATTTCTCTAAAGAAAAAAAAAAAGACTTCTTTGCTTTTTGTAGATAGCAATAACATCCCACAATCAGCAGCCACATTCCTTTTTTCACTCCACTTCCCTGGGCCACTGTGGCCTTAGGGCCTGGGCATAGTTGGCAGGTTGGCTGAGCAGGGGGGGAGGTGGAGCATGGTCACTGCTCCTGCCCTGGCTCCGGCAGTCCTGCAGCAAGGGCTCCGGGGTGCCTGGACTTTGGGAACTGTCCCGAGAGGCTGGGGCTGGGAGGCCCCTCCTTCCCACCCCGGCATCCTGAAACACTGCCACATGCTAAAGTCCACCTGAAGCGGCCACAGAGGGAGCCCCTCGTACCCTCGTTTCCTATCTGTGAGTAGGTCCTCAAGGCCTCCTCTGCTCCCAGTCGGACGACCCATCTGCTGGGGGAGTACTGATTATCCAGCTCCTATGGGACAAAGAGACGAAGTTCCATAAGACCTTTGACCTCCACGCAGACTATGCTCCCGCCCCTCCGCGTGCCTGGATGCTCCTCTCGGCCTGGAGAAGCCCCTTCCCTGATATCTCAGGCTCTCATAGATGCCCTTAGCTTCCTTCAAGCCCCCCAGTCTCCAGCCTGGCAATCCACTCCCCACTCTCCCCCCACTAACTAATTAGGCGTTTCAGATACAACATTGCAGATGCTGCCAGATCCATGGTCTAGAGCAATGGCCATGCCTTTAAGCAGCAGGACAGCTTTACAGGGAAATGAGGTCCCATAGATCTGTCCCAGTTAATGCCATCATGGGTACCACTTCCACAGCAGCTAAGACCACAGGAAGCCAGGGAGCTGGGGTGGCCACTGCAGAGAAAGTGATGTAGAGCTGATATTCCCTGAAAAGGTATGATTCTGACTGCAGGTGGATGCAGCAAAATCAGTGAAATAGAGGTGAAGAGGAAGGAATCAAAGGTCAGTTTGGAAATGTTGACCAGCCAGATTGCTGAAACACAGAGGTGAGGCTGGGAAGCGGGGGCTGGGGGGTGGAGGGTCTTGAATGTCAAGCTAAGATGTTCAGACTTAACGCAGAAAGTAATAAGGAACCAGGTTTTGGAGAAAGGGCTCAGAGGCAAAAGAACAACAACAACAAAAACAGGTGAAGGCTGGACTGGAAAATTTGAAGACAGGTGGCCTCATGGAAAGGTCTTGGGCTCTGCAATCAGATGGGCTGAGTGCCATCCAAGCTCCATCACTTGCAGGCTCTTTTACCATGGGCAACTTACTTACAGTCAGTTCCCTCATCTGTATAATGGGCAAAACAATAGTACTTGACTTCATTCACATGACTTATAGCTTTCAGCCTTGTGAGGCTGTATACCTTGTGAGGCTGAAAGCTATAAGGCATGTAAATGAAGTCAAGCTAACCACTCAGATGTGGGTTTCCCCCTCTTCCCATTGAACAGGGTTCTTGGCCAGGGGTCTTTGGAACTGTACAATCTGTGCCCGTCGGATGTTTGCAGTCATACCTCGCACACTCTGTGACTGCTATCATCATCATCTTTTATTATTGCTATTATTTATAATAATGATAATGCAATGGGTTTCTGAAAGTGCTCTGATATTATAGGGGTGTGTGTGTGTGCGTGTCTATGTGTGAGACAGACAGAGAGACAGACAGACAGAGAGAGAGACCGAAAAAGAGAGGTTAGGATTTCTTGGGGGCAGTATCTGTAACTGTCACCACATTCTTAGAGGCGTCCGTGACCAGAGAAAGAACCATTACCTGAAATGTAGGAAAACTAGTTAGGAAATTATAACTGAATGATAAGCATAACAAATGCTTTGCATATGTGGTTTCTAACCCCCCATAACCTTCCCTCAGTAAATACCAGCCGTCCGGTATTTACTCCTTCAGGTCTGACACATCCTCCAAACATTGCACAACCTCAGATTAAGGTCCGAACTTCGGCCCCAACCTCATCCCGGTTTATGGGTATTGATATAGCTAGGGCTGGACTTCCCTGGCGGTCCAATGGTTAGGAATCCGCGCTTCCACGGCAGGGGCACGGGTTCAATCCATGGTCAGGGGACTAAGATCCTGCATGCCGCGCGGTGAGGCCAAAAAAAAAGTAGAAAAACATAGCCAGGGCTTCCATTTCCTCTACCCTTAAAATCAGGCTAGCAAAAGCCTACCTGTGGCGAGAAGTAAAATATCAATAAATCACAGTGCTAAAGCTTTTGGGAGCTGGCACACAGTAGGCTATCAACGGCGCCCACAGGAGTGGTTCTAAACTTTTCTCTCAACCCCCATCTCATCTCTGAACCACACTCCTCAGCCCCAGCCTCTCCCAGTGATCCGCCTACCTCTTTAGACATCCTCTTCCAGGGAGCCCCGCGCCTAGGACCTCCGCCCAAGTCGTCCATCCCGTTGTGTACGAACCGACAGGCGCCCGGGCCGCCTTTTTATGCCAGGAGGGCGGGGCTCTGGTCAGGCCCCGTCCCTGGGAGCCGCGCCCACCGCCCTGGTGAGCTGAGCCTGGTGCGCGCATTCCCGGTCCCTCCCACGAGGGGGCGGGCTGAGGTCAAATCTCCCGCCGGTCCCACAGCCGCACGCTGATTGGCTCCGGGCCGGCAGCGCCGGCTCCCGATTGGCCCGCACGCCGGGGATAAAGAAGCACAGCGCGGGAACCAGCGCGAGCCTGCAGGGCGGCGGCGGCGGCGGCGGCGGCGGCGGCGGCGGAAGAGGGGGAGGAGGAGGGTCCTCGATTTGTGATCTCCCTGAAGGCACCATGAGCTGCATCAACCTGCCCACCGTGCTGCCCGGCTCCCCCAGCAAGACGCGGGGGCAGATCCAGGTGCGGGCCGCGGGGTGGGGTCGGGGTCGGAGTCGTGATCGGGGCCCGGGTGTCCGTGCGCACCGGGGCCCAGTGACCTCTCCTTCTCTCCTAGGTGATTCTCGGACCCATGTTCTCAGGAAAAAGGTAATGGCCTCGCGGGACGGGGGTGGGCCGGGACCTCTTCCTCCACTTCCCTGCTTCTCCTCCAAGCCCCGGGACCCCGTCCTCCTCCCATGACGCCCCACGACCCCGAGCCTGCCGCCCTTCTCAGAGCCCCGCCTCTAGAGCAGCCCCTACTGCCCGACCCCGCGTTCGCGACCAGGATGCCTCTCCCCCGTGGGATCCTACCGGAGGAGGAGCTCCTCCCCTTCCCGTCCGGGTCGGAACCTCTTCCCCTTGGGGGTCATTCAACCACCGCTCCTTCCGGGAGCTGGTCACAGCTGCTCACCGTTTAGCCCCTCACTAAAGCCCTCTCTGAAGGGTGCATCTCCGGTGGCCAGGCTCTGTGCGTCCTGCAGTATCTGTGGCTTCCTTGCAGTGTGACTGTTTCCTTAGATGGCCCAGGAGCGTAGTTACTCTCCACACCGAAGAGTCAAGCGCTGGTGCCTTTGCTTCCCTGAAGTGATAGAACCAATCCCAGTGAGCCTCCAGTAACTCCCCTGGCCCCCCTTTCTGTATGGCGCTGGGGGATCACTCCAGCTCAAATCCCTTGCCCACGATGGTGAGGCTCAGGGTGGGCTCAGGGTGGGCTCTTGGACTCAGAGACAAAGCGCTTCCCTTGTTGCACCAAAAGGTTCTCTGAAGTTAGTTCAGGCTATGTGAAGAACTGTGGGGTGAGATTACTTTGGAATGGAATCTGAACCCCTCTCCTGTGCATGTGGTCTTTGCTTTGCGCCTGACAAAATCACTCCTCCAGCCCTTCCCTGAATCACCTGAGGGCCCTTCTTTGCCACCCTCCCCACAGAGAATGACTATCAGCCCAGACATGCTCCTCCCTCCGGGGTCTAGACTGAACTCTCTGTGTGGGCCCTTTCTGTCCTCACTGGTTCACGCTCTGCCCTGCAGCCTTCCCATCCATTGGTGGGGCACAGGCTGTATACCCCTAGAAGGCGGTGCTGATGGGGTCTTCCTCGCCCACACTTATGCATGGGCCTTACCTTGCAGTACTGAGCTGATGAGACGGGTCCGTCGCTTCCAGATTGCCCAGTACAAGTGCCTGGTGATCAAATATGCCAAAGACATGCGTTACAGCAGCAACTTCTCCACGCATGACCGGTCAGTCCCTGCCCCTTCTGTCCTGTCCCCACACCTTTTGTGAGAAGCCCAGTGACTGTCAGAACTCTTTAGAGAGGATGGTTAATAATGCTGATACCGGGCAGCGAACCGTTCAAATCTGCAAACTTTCCAGGTTGCTTGGCAAGGTACCCTAGAACTTGGCCTTTCTTGGGGCTCTAGCCCAGTGGTTCCTAGCGGGACGTGATTTTGCCCGCTAGTGTCTATTTGCAATGTCTGGAGACATTTTTTAGTTTTCACAACAGGAGGAGGTAAGGGCATGATGGCAACTAGTGGGTAAAGGGCAGGGATGCCACTACATCCTACAGTGCACAGACAGCCCCATAACAAAGAATGATCCAGCCCCAAATGCCAGTAATGTCTGGCCAAGGTTGAGAAACCCTGCTCTTGACCTATGTGGAGGTTGCAGACTGGTTTTGCTGGCCTGCAGGCTGAATTTTATTTAAGTTTTTAGTTGGCTTGTCCTTGCTGACTCCCTGTCTCGTGGCCTTTGTGCATCCCCCTTTTATGTTTATCTGCCTGTGTCCTGTGGGCATTTCAGCCTGCAGCCTGAGGTTGGGAGGTTAAATTTAGTGCCACTCCTGCCATTCCGTACAGCATTTAGGGCCTGATGTTTTAGAGCCTGAGACACTTTTCTCATCTTCCAGATTCATCCACCTGAGCCCCCAGCATCAAGGCTGTGCTGTGTCTGGCTTCAGGGTGGGAGTGTGGGGGGCTCTGAAGCTGGGCAGGTGGGTGAGGCAGAGAGGATCCAGGACTTGGAGTTAAGTTAAACGTTGAGTGACGTTTCCTGGACATGTTGCCTGATGCGGGTCATTTACATCTCCAAGTTTGCTTTCTCATCCCTAAAACATAGGTGTCCGCTGCTCAGGACACGGGAAGTGTCAAGGGAGGACAGTGAAAGCAGTGGAGACGATTAGAAGTGCAGCTTCTGGGTCTGTCAGATGGGGGTGGAAGCCAGGCTCTGCCCCAGTGTCACAAATCCTCTCTAATCTGGGCTGTAAAGGCCCAGACGAGCTGCAGCAGAGGCCTAGCGCTTGGCAGGGGTGACAATGCTCCAGAGACGCTGCCCTTGCTGAAGCTGGAACCGGCTTACTGCATTGCCTGCAGGATCAAAGCAAGATAATCACTAAGTAGTTGTAAAGTTTTACATAAATATATAGCTGCAAAACTGCAGAGCCGTCAGGAAACTCATAGCTCCTTGGAAGGGTAGTTCAGAGGAGCAGGCAAAAATGGAAACAGAAGAAAATAACATTGCAGAAAAACATAGAAACTAGAAGACAAAGAACAGCATTCCTCTTCCAGAAGGCCTGGCTGTGGGGCAGGGTGGGGTCCACCCTGTCATTTAATGCACTGGAACACTCCCACACACGGCCTTTCACTTTCAGACTCTGCTGGGTAGGAATCTTCCCTCAGGACACACGAGGCAGCAGTATGAATGCGGATTTGAATCCTGACTCTGCCAGTTAATAGCTCTATGATCTCTGAGAAATCCTTTAATCAGCCAGAGGAGTCAAACGGAGGGAATTCTAGGTCACTGCACTGCTCGTTGGTGTTCGTGACTTATCTCTGCTGGGGCACGGGGTGCCTAGTCTTAGATTCTGGTGCTAATGGTCTGCCTGGGGCCATGGTAGGACTTTCATGGGCCCTGGGGACTTTCTGCATTCATGGGCCCCTTCCTCTATAAAGAAAAAAGTAAAAAATTATAATTTATGACTGCATTGATATAAAGACAAAGATAATCCAGACTGAGTTACATTTATTCTGATTTTTAAAAGAAATTAAAATGTTTCATTCGTCCCCAAAGCATCATGGGCCCCAGGCACTGTACTTGATGAAGTAACCCTGTCTGCACCCCACCACACACACACACACACACACACACACACACACACTAAGCAGAGCAGGGAAGAGCTTTGCATCTGGGTTGAGCTTTACATTGGGCATTGCTAATTTCCAGCCCAAAGCTTGAAGTGAAATTGCTAATTTCCAGTCCAAAGCGTGAAGTGAAATAGCTCTTGTTGAATAACTGGTTTTCCAAACAAAGGCCTTTACTTTTCTCCCCAGATGCCTTCCCACAGGTGCTAATTTCTCAAAGCTCTGGGCAGACATCTCAGCCTGCTTTGCAGGTAGCGGGTGCTCATGAGACCGTTTCCCTGCCCCTCATTCTGGTTCCTGGTCTCCTCTGGCTCCCTTCTCTTGCTCACACTCTGGCTTTCTGTCCCCAGGAACACCATGGAGGCCCTGCCAGCCTGTGTGCTCCGGGATGTGGCCCAGGAGGCCCTGGGCGTGGCTGTTATAGGCATCGACGAAGGGCAGTTTGTAAGTTGACTTGTCCTGATAGCACTCTTCCTGTGAACTCAACTGTCCCCCTTTTTCCTCTGCTAACTTGGAGGTTATTGGTTCAATTTCTGATATTTTTATAAGGTAAACATTGTTAACTTGCTTTAACTAGTGTCTGAATACCCTTTGAATTCCCTTTACTGCTTTCTGTGTTACTGTTATATAGAATTTATTGTACCTTAAAAAAATTTACAGGACTTCCCTGGTAGCACAGTGGTTAAGAATCCTGCCAATTCAGGGGGCACGGGTTCAAGCCCTGGTCCAGGAAGATCCCATATGCCATGGAGCAGCTAAGCCCGTACGCCACAACTACTGAAGCCCGTGCGCCTAGACCCCGTGCTCCGCAACAAGAGAAGCCACCGCAATGAGAAGCCCACGCACCGCAACGAAGAGTAGCCCCTGCTCGCCGCAACTAGAGAAAGCCCGCGCGCAGCAATGAAGACCCAACGCAGCCAAACATAATAAATAAATAATTTTTTTTAAAAAAAAGAAGCAACATTGAGCTAAACAGAACCAAATCCTCCCTATACACCAGTGTTGAGAAATCAAATTTTTTGTTTACTGTAGAAAAAATTTTTTAATATATATAGTTTATTTATTTACTTATTTATGTTTGGCTGTGTTGGGTCTTCGTTGCTGCGCGCGGGCTTTCTCTAGTTGCGGCGAGCAAGGGCTACTCTTCGTTGCGGTGCACGGGCTTCTCATTGCGGTGGCTTCTCGTTGCGGAGCACGGGCTCTAGGCGCACGGGCTTCAGTGGTTGTGGCTCGTGGGCTCAGTAGTTGTGGCTTGTGGGCTCAGTAGTTGTGGCTCGCAGGCTCTAGAGCGCAGGCTCAGTAGTTGTGGCACACGGGCTTTGTGGGATCTTCCCGGACCAGGGCTCGAATCCGTGTCCCCTGCACTGGCAGGTGGATGCTTAACCACTGCACCACCGAGGAAGTCCACTTCTTTTTTTTGATTTAATTTATTTTGGGGCTGTGTTAGGTCTTTGTTGTTGCGCGGGCTTTCTCTGGTTGCGGAAAGCAGGGGCTACCCTTCATTGTGGTGCGCGGGCTTCTCAATGCGGTGTCTTCTCTTGTTACGGAGCATGGGCTCTAGAGCGCAGGCTCAGTAGTTGTGGAGCATGGGCTTAGCTGCTCTGCACCATGAGGGATCTTCCCGGACCAGGGACCAAACCCGTGTCCCCTGCATTGGCAGGCGGATTCTTAACCACTGCGCCACCAGGGAAGTCCCTGCCCCACAGTTCTTTCCCCTGTTTCTATGGCTACTTCCTCCCTGGCCAGCAAGTCAAACTCGAGTTCCCAAAACAAGTGTTTATTAAACCTACTGCAGAAACATCACCAATCTTCTGTTCTGCCCTCGTGCCTGTGGGCCTTGCTCTGCAAGAAGTTCTGGGGCCCAGAGGTGGCTGCCTCGGTTGCCTCTCAACATGGGACCTGACAAAAGGACTGCCTCTCCCTCCCTTCATCCTTCCCTTGGAGAGGGGTACATCTGAAGACCCCACGCTATAAGCTGAGGGTGCGGTGGTAGGTGGGCAGCTGGATCCTGGGCATGCCAGCCTCACAGTGTCGCTCCGAGTGTTGGTATTACCTCTGTTTCTTTTTAATTTTTTTTTTGGCTGTGCTGGGTCTTAGTTGCAGCACATGGGATCTTCGTTGCAGCGTGCGGGATCTTTAGTTGCAGCATGTGGGATCCAGTTCCCTGACCAGGGATTGAACCCGGGCCCTCAGCAGTGGGAGCGCGGAGACCACTGGGACCACCAGGGAATTCCCTAGGAGGGGTCTGGTTTTGTCTTGACCATCACAGTCACAGAATGGCCTTGCCGGAAGTTCGTATTTATAGATTGGGCTCATATCACGTGTTGTGACCATTTTTTCCTCATCAGCAAATACCTATCCTCATGAACGTACCATGTCTTACATGAGCTGGCCCCTTGAGTGTGGCACTTACAGGCTGTGACAGACGTGTGTGCGGACATCCTGGCTATCGTCCGGTGTATTGGGGTTTATCTACTAAGTAGAATCACTGGTCAAGGGACTGATCTCATTAATTCAGTAAGTGTTTTCTGAGCTTGTGCCATGTGGCAGCAATGTTCTAGGTGTTGGGGATACAGCCAGGGTCTTGCCCTTGCACTTACATTCTAGCTGGGGGAGAGAAATATGTAAAAGGTGGTGGTAACCGGGGGAGAAAGGCACTGTGAGGGCGTAGAGCTAAGGTGGGGATGATGCTTTTTGAGGATGGTCAGAAAGGGGCCAAAAGGAAAGCGGGGTGAAGGTTCCCAGTCAGGAGTATGCTTTTGGGCATGTCTCAGGAGCAGCCAGGAGGCCAGGGGCTTTGGCCAGGTCAGCGGGAAAGACTTCGGCGTTAACCCTGGGAGAGCCTGGAAGCCGCCCAGGGCGTCTCCTCTGTTGGAGGAGCATCGACAGCATTGGGGGTGGGGTGGGGGGAGAGGCATCTGGGTCTTTGCGGAAATCCCCACGGTGGAGGGCAGGGTGGTGGCGGCTGCATACACACATCCTGTTCCAACTGCCTTTCTCTTTTGTTACTCTGGTGGCTGACATCATTTTCCCTGTGTTTCTACTTTTGTAAATTGCCTCCTTCTCTTGGTTGATCTTTCCTCTACAGGACATGATGTAATCGGTGCCAGTTTGTCACATGCTGTAAATATTTCTTCCCTGTTTATTTGCCTCTCGTTTTGGTCTGTGCATTTCATTTAGTCTTTACCATTCATGGTGGAACGGTGGAATGTTTCAGTGTCACATCCTTCGTTCCTGTCCTCTGTGGCCTTTGCGCCCTCGACACCAGCCTGGCTGCCAGGAAGCCGGGCCTCCACCGGGGCAGGGCCGGGGTGCTTCCGTCGTACATCACGAGCGCGCCACCTCTCGGCAAGATGAGGATGAGGGTGAAACTACTCCTTGGCTTCCTGATCTGCCCTTTCGGTCCTCTCCCCTCATCAAACCTTGTTCGGGAAGTGGCTCACGGCAGGTCAGCCCAGGTGCTGGATCAGCAGGTGAACCAAACGGGTAGACTTGTCACCATCAAGAAACCCCCCATTACTTTTCTACCTGGATCCCGTGTGGCAATCATTTTTGTCTACCAAGAAAACCCTACGTTTACTAGGTCCCCTGAAGTTCCGCTTTGAATGTAACCTATATTAGAGTCTATGGCTGCTGTGACATGTACCACAGACTGGGCGGTTTAAACCACAGACATTTACTTCCCACAGCTCTGGAGGCTGGGAGCCCAAGGTCAAGGTGTTGGCAGGGTGGGTTCCCCCTGTGGCCGTGAGGGAGAATCTGTTCCAGTCCTGTCCCCTTGGCGTGCAGGTGGCCATCTGCTCCCTGTGTCTGTCCCTCTCTGTGTCCAAATTTCCCCTTTTTATAAGGACACCAGTCATACTGGAGTGTGACCTTCTGACCTACTTTATGACTGGACACCTCTGCAAAGATCCTCTCTCCAAATAAGGTTCTGAGGTATTGGGGGTGAGGGTTTCTACATATGGATCTGGGGGGTGGGAAGGGACACAATTCAACCCATAACATAACCTAAAAAATTTAATGGCAAGAAAAACAAACGTCAGTAATGTGGTTGGTTACCAGTGGGCATTCTGGGACGCTGCAGACAGCTCTGACCTTACCTTTGATCATTCAGGGACCCCAGCTGGGGCCCCAGGGTTCAGTGTTTGGGTGCGGTCGGGGTGGCATGTGAACAGGGGACAAAGTTTAAGTGGAAGAATTGAAGTCTTTGATGGTGGCATCGCTGCAGCGGGCGAGGCGGAGGCTGATGGCGGGCACCGCGGCAGCGGGCGAGGCGGAGGCTGATGGCGGGCACCGCGGCAGCGGGCGAGGCGGAGGCTGATGGCGGGCAGCGGGCGAGGCGGAGGCTGATGGCGGGCACCGCGGCAGCGGGCGAGGCGGAGGCTGATGGCGGGCACCGCGGCAGCGGGCGAGGCGGAGGCTGATGGCGGGCATCGCGGCAGCGGGCGAGGCGGAGGCTGATGGTGGCATCGCTGCAGCGGGCGAGGCGGAGGCTGATGGTGGGCATCGCGGCAGCGGGTGAGGCGGAGGCTGATGGTGGGCATCGCTGCAGCGGGAGAGGCGGAGGACCCTGAGAGGTCCCCAAACCCTGGTGTGGAAGGACCCACATCTGATGAGGCCTTGACAGGGAGAGTGAGACGCAGGGGGTGCTCATCCCAGGGCGGTTTTGCCCCCAGCCCCTACCTGGGGGATATCTGGCAATGTCTGGAAACCATTTTGTTTGTGACAATGGGGGTAGGGTGGAGGGCACTGGCTGACAGCTCCTTGCAGGCTGGGGGCTGCATTTCTGTGAGCTGTGATGAGTCCTTTAGAGAAGAAGAGGGGCCTCACCTGGAGCCAGGCTGGAGCCTCTGGGTGGGAGGTGCCGTTTCCGTAGCTCAGGCTCGGCAGCCCTGCAGAGGCCATCAGATCTGGCTTCGGTGAATCCCGCTGGAACTGATCCAGGTTTTCTAACCCCTCTCCTGGACCTCGTCTTGCTGAGCCCTCAGGTCTTGGTAACTTTGCACCTACATGAGCGGCTTGGAGAGAGACCCTCTGCCCAAACACAAGAACTCCCCACTTCACCCAACCCAAAGACGAATCTAGATAGATGATTGAGCAGTGAAAGTTCACCAAAGAATTTAAGTAGCAGCCTTGCCCTGAGCCACTTGAAATTTGATTTACCAAGTAAGTGACCTTTCTGCAGGCCCTGTATTTAGAAGGGTGTGCCGTGCCATCCTGCTCTAAGTGGCCGTGGAACCCTCACCCCTTCTCAAGGCGTCACACGGGCACATTATGTTTTTTAAAAAAGATAAACACAAAGAGCCTGCCTCTCAGCCAAATAACATACGTCATAAATTATTCGAGGGTCCTTAATCCTTAAAACACCACCAAGGGCCTTCCTTGCCTTTTCTTGGGCTCAGAAACGTGAAGTCATTGCCAAGGTCACAGCTACTGGGTCCAACAAAGACCACGGTTCAAGCCCAAGGCAGCCTCTGGTCTGGGCTTTTGACCACTGCGGTAGCAGACTGCCTCTCCTGGCCTGGTGTCACTTCCGGGTGCTTGGCCTGGAGTGGGGCCCGGTTCTGCCATGGAAAGCTGGCAGGATGGTGGAGCGACTGGGGCTGCTGCAGATGTGCAGGTAGCGTGCCAGGTGTGGGGGGCTGGGGCCACCCTATTCTCGTGCTCCACGACGATCCAGGTGGCCAGAGCTGTTGGGTCCAGCCACATGTTTGTGGCTCCTGGAAGCTGCTGCGCAGGACAGAAGCTCACTCCTCCTCTCACCCTTTCCAGTTCCCCGACATCGTGGAGTTCAGCGAGACCATGGCCAATGCCGGGAAGACCGTCATTGTGGCTGCACTGGATGGGACCTTCCAGAGGAAGGTAAGGCGTCTGGTCCAGGTCTCGGGATGGGACCCAGGAGGGAGGAAGGGGCCGGGGCTGTGCACAGATGGACAGCTCACCGCGCCCTGGATGACCAGACTGTGCCAGAGCCCAGGCGCTCAGGCAAGCCAGACCCAGCTCCCTGGTTTGCCCCAGACTAGGCCGCCTGCTGCAGGGGCTGGTGCTCTGGGGGGAAGCAAGGTCAGGGCCTAGTTTCCTGGCTTCAGGGCTGTGAATCAGAGGGTTTCAAGGAAAAGCCCACCTGGTGAGGTAAGCACACACCAGTCTTTCCATGGGAATACAGGCTTTCGGGACCATCCTGAACCTGGTACCCCTGGCCGAGAGTGTGGTGAAGCTGACGGCGGTGTGCATGGAGTGCTTCCGAGAGGCCGCCTACACCAAGAGGCTGGGCGTGGAGAAAGAGGTGGCCCCTCCTGCCTTCTGCAAGGGGTGGAGGGGAGGGGCTGGTGCTGTGCCCCCGCTCAGTCCCGGCGCTTCCTGTCCCCTGGCCAGGTCGAGGTGATAGGAGGAGCAGACAAGTACCACTCCGTGTGCCGCCTCTGCTTCTTCAAGAAGGCGTCGGGGCAGCCTGCCGGGCTGGACAGCAAGGAGAATAAAGAGAACTGCCCAGTGCTGGGAAAGCCCGGCGCGGCCACGGGAGCCAGGAAGCTATTCGCTCCTCATCAGATCCTGCAGTGCAGCCCGGCCAACTGAGGCACAGGCCCCACACGCAGGACGGGCTGACCGGCCACCTGCTCCCATGCCTGCTGCTGCCCCCTGGCGGACGCCTGCCCCCTGCGTGCTGCCCGGCCTTCTCGGAGGAGGAGGCGGGGGTGGGGGGGGTGAAGTTTCACCAGCGCCCCTTCCCCGGCCAAGGGCCACGGGCCGGTGCTCTGCACACATCACACTTCCCTCCTTGCCTGCCCGCCGGCTTCCCTCTGTTCCCTTCCCAGACTACTCACAATCCACCCCAGGCCGGCGCGGGGCCGCTGCTGATGTGAGTCCCTCCCTCTCCAAGCAGTGAGGCTGGAGGCGCAAAGCTCCTGTGACACCGGCGCTCCTGGCTTCTTCCCCCTTTGTGGCTTTTGCCGTTGAGTTTCTGTTCTCACTGGGAAGTTGGAGCACCAGCACCTCTGGCTCAGCACCAAGCCTCCTCTCACGCAAAGACTTTAGTCCCCCTGCCTGCGACGGGCTCCTGGCCCCTCTGAGGATGGCTGGACTTGTTCTCTCTTACTTCCCTTTGGGCCGAAAGCCCTTCCTGCTCTGGCGACCATTTTCTCCAGGATTATAGCTTCTTCCACGTGGGTGACACCCTGCTGGGGCTCAGATCCCAGGCGCTTGTCTTTTAAAGCAGGGGCTGTGATTTTTCTGCTGTAGTGTGTGAAATTAATAACTAATATTAAAATTTACTGGTTGATGAAAGCGTATTTCTCTTTAACTGTCTGGGATTCCCCGGGTCTCAGTGGAGACAGCTCTGACCTGATTTAGGTGTGGGGATTTCTTTTCAAATCATTTTCTAGTACTACTGATCTCTTAGCCACGCTTTTTAACTGAGAAATGATCGTGAAGTATGTCCTGAGAGGAATGTTTGCCTGCTCCTCTGTCTGGGCAGGTTTCAGGTCAAGATGGGTGGATGAAGGAGCCTCAGGCCCAGGTTGGAAAGATGAAGCTTTGGTCTGTGCTGCCAGATGGGGCTGTGAGGTCAGGTTTTGTTCGTGAAACAGACACTTGACAGTTCAGGAGCCAAGAAGACCAGCTCTGCTGTGCCTCAAAAAATATGCTGTGGGCAGCTTACACGGAGGCAAGAGTGCACCAGGTCGGGTGTGGGTGGGGTGAGCCTGGGCTGTAGGTGTGCCCCAAGCAGATGGGGGTCCGGGTTCCCCACCCTCACCCCAGCTTCTCCCTCCCCTTTACTCGCGGTTGGTCCCAGGTTACAAAGGTGCAGTACAGTGATGAGACTGTAATTCCCAAACCCTATTAGTTTTTACTCAGGATTTTGAAACTGTTGGGGCCCACTTTTGACAGCTCCCTGTCTGGGCTCAAAAGGGGAAGCCCCGAGTTGCCCTGGGGGCCCTGACCTCCTGCCTGAGCCAGGCTTGTTCTCTGGGGCGGGCTGGGCGGTCAGGCCAGCCCACTGTGTGCCCGGAACAGGCTGCAGAGGTGCTGAGCCCTGTCTACGGGAAGCAGAGGGCCCCTGCCCCTCCAGGGGCACGCCGGGACCCTGGCAGAGCGGCCCAGAAAAGCCATGTTGTTTACAGGCTGAGCACAGTTACTATTTTAAGATGCTGATGGAGGGCAGCGTGAGCAATGAGACCCTGGGTCGGTGGGGGTGGTGGGGGTGGCGGGGAGCTGCTAGGCACGCTGGAGGGCCAGACTGCCACAACTCTGTTCAAAATACAGGTTCTGTAAGACCTTGGCCAGAGGGTGTACCTCAGGGTGGAATTTCTCTTTCTCCTACCCCTAGACAGAGGCCCCACCCATGACAACGGAGATTATGAATGAGAAAAACATTTATTCCATCTCCAAAATGAGTCAACAGAATCCAAGGGTGCTGTGCATCTTCCCCCAAGGCTCTGCAATACATTCAGAGCAGCCTGGGGGCTGTGGGTGTGCCCCACGCCTCCCAACTAACGGTGGTGGGGTATTTACATAAAGCTGGGTGCTGTTGTCAGGCAAAGCCCCTTCCTGCGGCCAAGGGGTGGAAGCAGAGACAGTGCTGCCCGCCCGAGCCCGTTGTTGGGGGGCGGCACCAGCCCTGCGCCTAGGCTGTCAGGAAGGTGACCCAGAGGCACTGGCACAGAGCCCAGATCCAAGCGAGCAGACACTTCAGCAGTGAGCACAGGCTGCCGCTCGCAGAGCAGGCAGGGGGCAGGGGGCTGGGGGCAGAACGAACCTGAGTGAGGAGGAAAGGAGCCCCAGCCCAGCACCAGCAGCAGAGCAGGGGGAAGGCCCCACAGCCTCATCTTTGGCAGAGACCCCCAGATGGCGGTGGCCACCGAGGCCTGCACATGGCCTGGCTCCTTCAGGCTGGGGAGAAGCTAAGGCACTTGTCAAACCAGCACATCGGGCCCTTGGAGCTACTCCAGGTGGGGTTGGGGATCATTAAAAGCAATGACAAAACCCATCCAACCAAAAACCCTTCCCTACAAAATGCCCTCGAGGAGTGGTGGGTAAAGCCCCCTGGGGCACAGGCCGAGGCTCTGAGGCCAGCAGCCAGGACGAGGAGGCAGGGGCTCTCTCTCCAGGCCGTGCGTCAGCTCCGACAGGCGGCAGGTGGATCAAGCGGGGCTGGCAGCTCTGGGAGACCAGCCTCGGGGGAGGAGTCCGGGAAGAGGGGAGGCCCCCCAGGTGCCCTCCCTCCTCCCCTTACCATCCCCGGCCGCAGCTCAGTACACAGGGGGCGGCTGGTAGCCCTCTGCGGTCTCGGCGTTCTGGGTGAAGGGCGGCTGTTGGTAGCTGTCCACAGGCGTGCCTGGGCAGGAGGCGTAGGCCGTGCTGGGGTCCAGAGTGGGGTCCACGTAGTTCTGGATGAAGTCATCCACTCCGGCCTTGTAGCGCTGGTAGGCCAAGGAGGCCAGCACGCCCTGCAGAGAGCCCCGAGGTTTGGGTTCCTCAGCCCTCCACCACCCTTCACCAAAGACACCAGGACCCTGGCCCGTCCTGGTCCACTTACCCAGGAGAAGACAGAAAAGAAGCTGAAGGTGATGGCCGCCCGGGCCGAGTCGGCTCCCACCAGCACATATTCCGGCTTGGTGGCTGCCCACTGATTGGCAAGGAAGCAGAAGCCAACAAACCACATGAAGGTCCAGAGAGCTGGGGAGAAGGCCGGGAGGGCAGGGTCAGCTCTACGGAGCAGGCAGGAGGGCAGGCACCTCCTGGAGGGAGAAGCCTCCGGGGGTGTGAAGGGCACTGATGCAGAAGCCAGGGTGGGGACAGGGTGCCACCCTGGGAGTCCTTGCTCCAAGTCCCACTTGGCTGTGGAGGGTTTCAGCAGACGGTGAGAAATCCTTCCGTGCCAGCCTGTCTGCTGGGAGGTCTGGGGACCTGGGGCTACTCCCACCCCTCCCAAGCCCTGCAGTCACAGCACCCTAGAGCCCTTGGGACCACTGCCACTCCTGTTCACCCCAAGATCAAATGGAGGTGCAGCCGGCAGATACCTGAGAAGAGCAGGTCGCTGATGACCAGGTACTTGCGGTCAGTGGCGCTGCTGATCTGGGGGAAATAGACGTCGATCACGAAGAAGAAGGCCGAGGCCAGGAAGCCCAGCAGCCCGATGGCGCTGCCGAAGCGGCACGCGTCCTCGTTGTGGTTGAACACGCAGTACTGCTGGCTGGACTCGTGCGTGTTGCTGTAGCCCTCGCCGAAGATGCATGAGAACACGATCAAGGCGAAGACCTGAGGGGGAGGCAGGGGAAGGGCTGAGTGACTGCTACCCTCGTGGGACAAACCCCCCAGGTGGCACACAGAGTGGGGCCTCCTCTGCTCCTGCTGTCCCCCGTGCTGCAGGTCGGAGCACGGTCCCAGCCCCTCCTGAACTTGGGGAGCGAGCGAAGTTCAGCCCTCCCTCTCCCTTCTCCTGGGCTATCTCCAGACACCAGTCACAAGTCATGCCGGGGATTCCTGGACTGGGGATGGTGGGGAGTGAAGGGGATCTCCTGGGAGGGGACTGCCCGCCCAGCTGTCTGCCTGGAGGATGGGTACTGGTGGTTAGGTACTTGAAGATTAAGGGCAATCGCCCAAACTAAAGCACTCCCACTATCAGTGAGTTTTAAACAGGATGGGTCACAAAGTCATAAAAACCCAAGCTTGGAGTCTCACCCCCATCACCTGTCTGAGTCACCTCTAAAGCACCCAGCCTCTGCCTAAACACCCAGTGATGGAGGACTTCTCCCACCTCAGGAAAGCCATGCCTCCGAGCCGAAATAGTGTCCCCAGACCCCCACCTCCTGGAGCCCCCTCCACCTCTTCCCTGCTGGGCTCCCCAGTTTGGCCAGCTTTTTTCCTACAAAGAATTCTGGCCTCTTTGGCATCCTGGCCCCTGCCCTCCCAGAGAACCCCAGCTGGCCTCCCGCTCATAGTGGGTCCTACCCACACAGGGCACCTCAAGCTGGTCTGCCCAGCAGGCCTGTGGACACAGCTCTGCACGCAGACCCCTGGATGTACTGGGGTGGGGGTCGAGGGGGTGTACCAGCCAGAACTCTGGGAGGGGCTCCAGGCCCTTGCGAAAAGCCTCACGCCACCTGTCTCTGCCCCAAACTGAAAGGCCACTGCTCATCCCTGCCTTATGTCAGCAGACCCGGGACAGTCTGGACGCCTGGCTCCCTCTGGGACCGGCCCAGGCCACTGCCCAGCCTGCCCTGCCCGCCTGCACAAGGCCCTCTCAATAGGCTCTGGAGCTGGCAGTCACAAGCCCCACCCCCAGCTGGAGATGAAGCCGGAACTCTGGATGCTGGGAGCAGTGTGCCAGCCTGACTCCTGGCACTGCCATCCCGAAACGTGGGCATCTGCTCCTGGGGTCAGACCCCACAGTCAGGCAGAGCGGGGGTGAGAGTGTCACCAGGGCAACTCGTAGGGCTCCAGTCCCAGGCAGGGGCAGGTGTGGTGTGGGTGCCGCATGCCCAGCCCGCTGCCTGCGGTCTGGCTAACAGCTTGTTCAGCTTTGGGCTCTGGTTGTCCGAGAGCATGGGACCTCCCACCAACGCCCCACCCCCGGGAACCTGGTACTGGAGGGCTCATCCAGCTCACATGGAGGGGAACATCCTGGGGTCACCTGATCTCGGATGGGGAAGCAGACCCATGTGCTGCTCTTCAGTGGAAGAGAGACTCTATTTCAGGGCGGCAGGCTGCCCCCCAACCCCACGCACCCCACGTGGCTTCGGAAAGCCCCTTCTTGATGAATTCCCCCAGGGTGGGAGTCGCGGCGTGCCGGCCACCTGTCCTGGAGCCGCCTCAAACTCCTCCCACTGCCAGCAGGGCGACGGGCCTGCTCCCCGCGGTGCCGCCCGGCCATTCCGCGCCCGGGCTGGGAGGTGGGGGGTGGCGGGACCCGGGTTCGGGGGGCGGCGGGGCCCGGGGAGTGAGGGGCTGGAGTGTCCCGGGCCCCGCTCGCCCGCCCTACGCGCGCCGCTCCCACCCCCGGGCCTCGGCCACCACCACCTGTCGCGCTCTCAGGCTCGCAGCGGCCCCACTCCCCCGGCCTGGCGACGAAGTCGGTTCCCCGAGGCCCCGCACCCCGGCTCACCAAGCACATGGCGCGCACCACCACCTGCGGCTGCGTCAGGAAGTGCCTCAGGTCGAAGGAGCCGCCCGCCTTGGCCGCGCCGTAGGCCCCGCTCTCCATGTCGCCGTCGCAGCCCCCGCCAACGCCGCCGCCGCCGCAGCCGCGGACTGCTGAGGAGCCAGCCCGCCGCCCCGCCCCCGGCCCGGCTCCTCCCCGGGGGCGTGGCCAGCACCCCCCCAGGGACCGAGGGCAAAGTCCGCCCAAGACGAGCGGCGGTGCAGGAGCGGCAGGGTTACCCCGACAGCCCGGCCTGCGCTTCCAGCGGCCGACATCCGTCCAGCGGCTGCGGACTCGTTGTCTAGCCCACCTCTCGGCCGGAGTCTCGTCCCTCTGCTATGCTGGTCCGCAGGGCGACTGGAAAGGGCCAGAGAGTCCCCAGGAAGAGAGGGTCGCAAGGAGGGCCCGCCCCTCTGCGCCATCCACTCTTTGCCCCTGCACTCCCGCCTCCGCCTCCAGGAAGCCCCGCCAGACGCCGTCTGGGCCCCATCTGCCCAAGACCCAGGCTCCTACGCACCTCCTCTCTTCTCCCCCATTCTACTCAAACCCCAGGCCACAGCCTGGACCCCTCCCTGCATGGCCTGT